CGCAGTCCTCCGAAGCAGCAGCCACTCCAAAGTACTTCTACTAATTGTCCCCATGAGAAGCTGGTTATATTGTCTCCTTTCTCGGCCTCGCAGACGGCAAAGACGTGCTTCACCATGCTTAACTCCCATGTCACGCAATCGTGTTAGTGTCAGGGATTCGATATTATCCACTAGCCCAGTACGTACAGCGTTAACGATATCTGCTCTGTCCATGCTTTTTCCCGCAATCATTAGTGCTGTGCTTGCCAGTTGGTCCGCTCGCTCATTTCCCTTTACGCCCGCATGACCCGGTGTGTAGATCCAGGTTACGGAAGTTAAGTGCGATTTCCGAATGCTTTCTATCCATTCAGAGCGCATATATATATATATATATATATATATATATACATTAATCCTTTGTTATTTGCTTTCCATTATTTACTGTCTTTAGAAAGTTACAAATGAATCTAACAGGACACATTTTTGTTTTAAAATCACATTTCTGACTGATGAACTGAGTTTTCCTTACTTAATAAGTCACCAAATGTTTCCCGACGCAAATTGTTTTTAAATGACTTATGACAGAAATGTTATAAATATTAATTTTACCAATGGAAAGCAAACAATAAGATATTTACAGATGCACGTTAAATCAATATGTGTTACCAACATTATGCAACAGTTAAATAAGTTAAAATTTTTGGGTAGCTTGCCAACATGACAGCATTTGAGAAAGAAAAAAAAAATAATGATGATTTTATGGGGGGGGGGGGGGGGGGGGGGGGTTATGTGGTACATCTTCTTTCACAAGTTGCTTGAATTTTTAATCAGCATGAAATCTAGCAACAGCTAAAATTGCATAATTTTAGTAATAAGTCACAAGATGAAATAATACTTTTAAAAATATATTCTTAAAATGTATTCAACTACCGTCTGTCTGAGTCATTAAATGTTCTGATGAAATTGGTCAAATCTTGTCCAAAACATGTGCTCCATTTAGTTTATTAATCTGTCTTTTACTGTGTACAATACAGTAGTAGGTTTGTAGTTGTTCGAGACAGCTATAATAAAATTTCTAAAAACCAAAAAAACAGTTCACCTTTGACGTGTCACTTGCACCTTATAATTCTAAAAATTAATATTGTATTACCAAATGTCCACAGCACTCTCTGAATGTAAAAACTGAGACACATAAATTAAAAAGTCAAAAACAATAAGAACTTTTGAGGGGGGAGGGGGGGGGGGGGGGGTGTCAAAACGCAATCCACACTTCATAAGACAGATTTTTAAAAGTTATAAAATATTTTTATGGGTTTTCAGATGCATTATGTCAAAGTTCATTTTTGGGGGCGTACTTCTGAAACGGAAAATACCTCTATACAATTTTTGTTGTCTCCGGACACCATGTAAGAATCTAATACATGTAAAATTTTTCTGGTTAAATTGATCCAGCCAAAAATGCGTTAACGGGAATTGTTCTGGAAAGTAAAGGGAGTCAGCAGGAACTGACCACATCGCCCACCCAGTGCTTGCTGGTCTGTACAAATATGTATCTAATATTAAATATCCATTACAAGGTCCTAACTTTACTTACATAGTGTCAGTTATTGTTTTTGGGGTAAAGGTAGTACTAGTAATTTAACCCTTTGGTGACGCCGCCCAAATATCGGCCCAGTACAAAGTAGCCAAAGGGATGACTGGGGTGATCGGTCTGCCCTATATAATAGAAGCCTTGATATTGGCTGGCAGGTTTTCGTAACAGCCAGTCAGACTGCTTCTCGCATTTCTTGCACATCTGGGCTATTCGCTGACGACTTTCAAGAAAGTTTGATGTCTTCTGTATTTTTACATAAATTATTTTCTGCAGTTATCTATGCCCAAAAATGGTGAAAAGGACTATTGCATCATAGCAACCAAAACATAGCTGGGGGGGGGGGGGGGCGGGGGGCAAGAAAATGAGTAGAACCATGTGCCAGACAGGTCTGAAGGGCCTCCAAGGGCCTTTCTTCCCAAAATACAGGTGTTAGGACTTATTCAAGCTTCATCCATTAAAAAAAAATTCACCCAAATGTTTCAGGTTAGTTATGTTTGTTCCCATTTTTAAAAACAAAATGCTTGCATATCAGAATGGTTAATTTAAATACATTTTTAGATTTTAGTTTGATTCATAAATATTATGTCAGTTCATTCAATTTCCTACACGAATATATTTAGTTTTGTATATGTTAATTAAACGCTTTATTTTTTGTTTAAAAACTATGAGAATCCCCTCCTGAAGGCTCCATCTTCTTGGCACCAAAACTCCAAAAAGTATCCATCTCCAAAGTGTTAAACAACAATTTCCTGTTCATATAGGTTATAATTGAAATATACCGTTTTTTTGTTGTTTTTTTTTTTTGCTTTTTCAATTTTGAATATTTATGCCTGTTCGCTCCCTGGTGGAGACTGACTATTTTCAAAAATGACCTTAGCTCCCAGGTCGACCCAGCCTTGAGTGGGTACCGGGTGCAGTCCCGGGAAGTAAAGGCAACCGGGGTGATGCTGACCACATCACCCATCTTGTGCCGTTGGTCTATAAAAATATAGGTCTAGCCTTATATGCCCTATACACCTAAAGGCGTGGAAAAGGGTCCTTTACTTTTTACTTTTTTTTAATGCCTATCAATTATGTTTGGTTATTCAATACTGCATCGCTTAAGTTTCAAACGTGTAAGATTATAGGAGTATAGAATGTCAAGGTCAATAAATTGTAAGTGTATTTTCAAACAATTATAATGATGATATTGTGTATGTAGTCTATGTTTGCAGATAATTAAACTGATCTGGTTTAACATATTTATGTCTTAAGACATATTAACATCTCATATGCTAATCCCTGTCATTGTGATGTACTGTTGAATCCTCCCCTGTAGTTCTCTAGAGCCATCCCAGGAAGCTTTTTAGTGTCACAGACTTATGGTAGGATAGCATATATTCTTTAAGGGAAGTTTTTTTTTTTTCTAAAACAAAAGATCCGTCAAAGTATTTTGTGCAATTGTGATATTTATATTCTACCCTCGTCTTCGCAATCATGAGTAACATTAAACATTTGGTTATAATGCCAGTTTATGTCTCTTTTTTACTGCAGCAGGTATCCCAATAAACTATCTACTATTTAGTCCTTACCACTGTGATGTTGATGACATTATCTGAGTGCTGGTAAAAAGTAAGTAAAAGTAAAGGACCCTTCAGGCATACTGGGCATTCACTGCTAGATCTACTAGGCCGCTACATCCCAGCGACTACCCATGAATTCTATAGAAATATGACTCCAGCGCCATACACTCAACGCAGCAATGACATGAAAAAGCTCCAAGAAATTGTTTAATTTTGAGTCCTAACAGCCTTTTTATATTACTGTTTTATTCTTCATGATGACAAAATTAAATATTAATTATCTCATTATCAAAAGTGACGATGACCAATTTTATCAGATATCCCTAACTGTGACAAACCACCATGAATCGTGTTAAGAAAGCAGTCTATGATTTCAAAATAGCACAGAAAAGTAGTAAACTGGTGTATATTAATATTCATAGGATCAGTTTTTTGGGGTTTTTTTTTTTTTTTAAAGTATTTAATTAACATTAATGCCAAAATTGACAAAAGATGGATTTTGTATAATTTCAAAAGTTTCTTATAAGCAAGAATTGTAATACATATCATAGTGGTTTGTGGTGTGTCAGTCCTTTATTTAATTGCTTCCATTCTTTTGATTAGAGGCATTTTCTAAAAGACATATTTTGTCTATAAATAATAGAATAAACAGAATTAGTTTGTGGACCAGAATGAATTATAAACTGAACACAGACAAAATCTAAAATACAATTTGATGGGCTAACATTTTAAAAAGAAACAGAAATAACAATGCAAAAGAGGATGTCTCACAATCAGTGATCTTTGGAACAAAACAGGACTTGGCTATACAGAAAGAGATTTCACTTTATTTGAGACTTGTAAAGGAAATCTGATGATAAGTAAAATAAGCTGCCTCAACAATATTTCAACAATAAACAAATATCCCCAGCAAAATATATGTCAAAGTAGAAACAAAACACAAACAAATGCTCTACTGAAGTGGCATGTGTCAGTTATAGGAGTCCAACTGTCAAGTCTTCACCAAGTGAAACAAAACAATCAATGTTCTATCTAGGACGATTCAGCAATCGTGTCAAACAGTATTGTAATCTGAAATAATGACTTTTGGGTGAGAAAATATACAAAACATTGACCTATAGCACTCTAATTTTAACAAAAGAGTGGAAGCAAAGTGTATTTATAAATGTCATTACTGTCAAATATTTCTACAAGTACATTGTAATTAACGGTCTTGATATATTACACTGCATGAGAGCTTGCCTGCTGCTAATTGCCCCCCCCCCCTTTTGCCCCCACAAAGTACACCATTTGCACACCCCTCATTAAGTTAAAATCAATTAATTTTCTTTTCAATTTCATCACCTATGAGAAATCAGTTTTTTTTTAAAGGCATAACCTTTAGGTGACCAATCAGACAAGCTTTCAATTATGACATCATCTCTAGTGGAGAATTACAGCAAATTTGAATGACTGACTTTTTTTTACCTTCACATTGCAACCTGAAAGTTTAGCACCCTAATGACCTGATAAGCTGTACAGAGGTTGTCAAATCCAGACACTCTGTTCAACCTCTTAGAAGTTAACAGCAAACTTTTAAATATTCCTTCAAAAATTATTTATGTACCGATGTGCACCCATTTTGGATATGTCTATGTATGTTTACATACATGTAAACAATTGCTCTAACATATGCCCATATCTAATTCCGACAAATGCAAAAATAATTCTTATCTCGGAGCAAAGAGGGAGGTGGAAAGGGGAAAAGGGGGGGGGGGGGGGGGGGGGGTGGTTTGGAATAATATAATTTCACCCCAAATTTGCTGTAATCCTGGTATTTTTTTCAAATTTTAACAATTCAGCAGGATAGACGAAACAAAACTTACCTTTGAACCTCGCTCGTTGAATATTATTTCCACGTCTAAAATATTGCCAAACTGCTGTGAAGAGACAGATAAGTACCGCGGATTTAATATCTTTCTATTTATAGGGAATTTCTACAGACAAAGAATACAGGTTCAACAGCTAATTTACAAAATCTAATATTTTGGACTAGGCACAGAAACACAAAGGTGACTGACACTTTACTTTGGGCACGTATATTTGTTTATAAAACTAAAACTTTAATCAAAACTGACATAAATCCAACAACTAACTAATAAAATGTTTGATGTGTATGTTTGCAATACAATCTCTCTCTCTCTCTCTCTCTCTCTCTCTCTCTCTCTCTCTCTCTCTCTCTCTCTCTCTCTCTCTCTCTCTCTGTTTATGTGTGAAGTGTGTTTTAGTGTGTGTGTGTCAGTCTGAGACAGAGAGACATACAGTTATGAGAAAAAAGAAAGACAGACAGATGACAATGAGAGAGACAAAAAGAGATCCGGCTTTAATGCAATGGAAGGAAAAAACACATGTATGTAATATTCTGAAGAGCATCAGGTAGACACATTAATGAAAAAATACTACACACAGCGCACTAGCTTTAGCTTCCTGTACAAGACCTGTGACACTTCTGGTCATAATTATTAAAGAGACTTCCTATATCCTTCGACTTTTATGTCTATCACTGAGTATATCACCAATAGCCCGATCTGTAAGTGGCTACTGAGTATATCACCAACAGCCCGATCTATAAGTGGCTACTGAGTATATCACCAACAGCCCGATCTGTAAGTGGCTACTGAGTATATCACCAACAGCCCGATCTATAAGTGGCTACTGAGTATATCACCAATAGCCCAATCTGTAAGTGGCTACTGAGTATATCACCAACAGCCCGATCTATAAGTGGCTACTGAGTATATCACAAATAGCCCGATCTGTAAGTGGCTACAGCCAGATATCTGTAAGTGGCTACAGCCAGATCTGTAAGTGGCTACATGCCTTTGTCTACTGAAACATGATTTGCTATAGATAAGAATTAGGATTTTGTTTTCTGCATCTAATGTGAAACTTTAATAACACAGTGGGAAACTACTTCTTCTTTTCCACCTTGTACCTCAGCCAAGTGTCAGGGGGAGATGTAACATTCCTTGATGAGCTCTGTCAAGAGCACTATTAAGACTGGTGTTTATTTCTGTAAGGCTGTTCTTAATGCCATCACTCCATATTTTCTGAGGTCTTCCACTCGCTGTATACCTGTTGTAACATTTTAGTGTCCCTCGATGTGGCAGATAGTATCAGGGCATTCTGGTTAGGTGTCCAAACCTCTTAGTTTGTTGTTCTTTGATGACCTGTAAGACTGGCTTTATTCCTAGCATTCGTCTGTTTTCGTATTCTGTCTTTCCTTGTACCTCCAGCAGCTCTTCTAAGGCATTTCATCTCTGTTGTTACATTTTTACATTTATTGGAGGATGTAAGTGTCCAGACTAACAAGTTTTAAATTTTTTTTTTTTTTTTTTTTTGCATATTCAACTTGTGCACCCTCACATGGTGGCTGTTTTCCTCAGTAATCTGGTGAAAGGTTAGGGTTTCAATCGCCAAGCGAGGAACTGGAGGGGACACAAAAGGTAACGGCAAAATCTGATTCAATCAGACAGCTACTGAGTTGAGTGCGGGGTTTGACAATCAGTTTAAATTTCATGAGGAATGCTTACTACCAGTATTTCTGGAGATGTGTGCTGTAAACTGCATATTCAGAAAGTGGCAAGTGGCTAGTTGCCCCTGAACTGGCGGTGTTAGTTTTTCCTGACTGCTGCTTTAATCAACTATGAGTAACAATTATAGTGACAAATTGTAGATGTTAGCCCCTTTAGCAGCTGCCTTATGCATCTGATGAGTGTGCAAGTCGTTAGATTTGGCCAGGACTGCTGCCTGTTTGATGTTTCCACATGGGACACTGATGAGCATTTTCTGTGGTTTTCACTGGCATAGGAACAGCGTAATTACTGGTGACCATAGGATGCTGGAATCCTGATTTAAAGCTTGATGCTTCTGTATGTATGTATGTAAGTTGTACCCCAACAGAACATCACACAAGCGATAAACACCTGGTGACACAAAGTACCACCTTGAGGATGAAGATCACACATGGATGGAGAGGTCACAGAAACCCTGTTCAGCCATTATGCCATATTTCAGGCCTGGCTATATTTAGAGCTCCCAGCAAAAGCCAGGGTGTAGCTTCAAAATAACTTAAAACTGCATCCCACAAGGGGATGACTTTATAGAGAAGATGCTTTTGTTCCTTAGAAAGAGAATGTGAAACAAACCATGTTGTGATCTAATGCTTTCCAAAATCTGCAAATACAGTTCTATGGACTTTCTCTCAGTTAACATCTAATTCATTTGCCTTGATCCTCACAGCCAGATATTCATCTTCATGTTATCAGTTCTCTGACTCTGACAATAAGTTCATCATTACAAACATAAACTGAATGTCACAGGCCTAGCTTCAACTTCAGCTGTTACCACATTAGTTCTGAATCATGAATACCGCCTGAATATATATGTTCTTGAGACAAACACAGATCCCATAAACTTGTCTCATAAGCATTTTTTCCCCCTGAGTTTAAAACAGAGTTTAATATTCACTTTTGGCTGCAAGCTGCACACATAACCATGTACCTCTTACTAGCTAAAAAAAAAAAAAATACTAGGTTACTTATCTGCCGACTGGGTAGTGTTTTTTGCCAGATCATAGATAAATGAATGGCGGTTTTTGTCTTGGCCACTCCCTGTTTGGGTTCCTGTGCCCTACTGGGGAAAGGGGGGGGGGGTGGGGGGGGCGGGGGGGGGGGGGGAGATAGACCTACTTCCCCCTAACAAGCATGTCATAAAAGCAACTAATTCAGGTCATTTCCTTTCAAGTCAGAGTGCATTGTGCTTAGAGGTGAGGAACTAATAGTCCACACACAAATTAAGCCAGATCTGTAAAAAAAAGCTCTGTAGGCAAAACTGAAGTTCTGGAACAAGACCATAGTATAGAAGTGGATGAACAACCCGAACTTCCTGCCAGAGCTTGCAGATTGTAACACATTGAAAAAAGAAGAAGTCTTGGCCATAAATCAGTCTCATTATTAATTATTGGATAATGTTTTGACTCTTTTATTCCCATGTAACCATTAATGACTCTCCTCTTTTAATCAAAATCACTGAAGATTGTGTTCTCTTTCAGATCACATTTGGTCCTCTTTCTGATCACATAAGGTCAAAATCACTTCTTCTGTTATTCTTCTGCATTCACCATTGTCATGTTGTGTTGTGGTTTACTAGGCTGTGATATCTGTACTTTTCTGCTCAACATATCTGATTTCAGCAACGCTCTAACTAGTCACATTTTATGAGAAGTGTGTTAGGAGGACCCCCCCCCCCCCCCACCCCCACCCTTTCCCATGGAGGTCCCAATCCCACCCACGTGGAATCTAGTTTCCAAAATTGGATGTTGCTTTTTAAACTAATAAATCATAATTCAAAAATATAAATCATCAAAACATGACAGAAACCGTACTTACCCCAAGCAGCTGTCTCAAGTCGGCTTCTCTAAACCGGAAAGGGATGTTGGATACATGCAACCGCTTTGGACCAGTGTTTGGAGAGATGGCGCCACTTGTAGGAGGTATGGTAGCTACTTCATTGTCAGCAGTTGTAAGTTCAGCCTGTAAGTAAAATCAGTGACCATTAAAACTGAGGATTATAAAAGCAGCTATAAATTAAGATGGTTAGAGTTAAGATGGCTTGTAAACAGATGAATGAAAGTTACAAATGAAAGGCTACAAATGAGTGTGACTATAAATTAATAGTGAATGTTGAATTAAGTAGCGACATCACAGCTCTCAGGACACTCCCATATGTACTCTGTCCCCATCTTCAGCAGCAAGCAAAGAAGTGTTCCAGTACCGATGGTACCAGTAACTGTTTGATTTATTCCTCTCCCCTATATATAAATTAATGGATGTAATAAATAAAGTGTGACCATATGTGTGTAAATGACGTGTGACTTGTACATGAGTGTGAACATAAATGAGTGTAGCTATAAATATATATGATTACAAGTGACTGTGGGAATAAATACCCGTAACTATGAATAAATGTAAAAGTCAATGGAGATGCCTAATAAATTAATATTGTTAGAAACAAATGTGATAATATGTATGTAGACAGTGTAATGTTCACACATTAGAAATATTTAGGTTCTCATTCGCTACACTCAGAAATAATTTAGACCCATGTTATTAGATTTCTTCTTTTATGTCATTCAGCTTTTAGAATACTTCATACAACATTATTCAACAACAATGTTATTTATTTATACGCCCAAAAAAAAACCTGTTAAAAAAATTCAAGAACGTGAAACAGGATTAAACTTAACCAAATTATAACCTGGCACACCCAAGCAATGCCACATGTGTAATGAGCATTGCCATAAGCACTGCATCCTCATCTTCAACAGCTAGCGGAGAGTTCCAATTGAAATAGTGCCAGCAGTAGTTTGATTATGTGTCCATCTTGCCTTACCCCTAAGCATAGAGTGTCGGCCAGAATAATCTGAACAGTTGAATGGCTGGAGACTGTCCAGGAATGAACATGGAGACAAACTTTTGATATATGAGCTATCACTTTAACACAAAAATGATTTTGAAAAAAACCCCCCCCCCCCCACCACCCCCCCCCCCCCCCCCCCCCCCCCCCCCCCCCCCCCCCCCCCCCCCCCCCCCCCCCCCCCCCCCCCCCCCTCCTTTCCCTATCCAGCTTTGCATGCTGTAGGATGAGAATCAAACAGCTAAAATACTGGAAACCCTGTTCAATCATATTGCCATATGGCAAAGTGATATAGGGACACCACAAAAAGGTTACAAAGCAACTTGTAGTCCAGTGCGGGTGTGTTGTTTATAGAGGTAGCAGTTAAGATCCATAACCAAATTGTTGCCGCTTTTATACTTTCACATTCCTTTACCGTAAGTGGGGCACTTCTGTTCTCTTCCTCCAGTTACCTCAGCGAAGGATTAGGGAACATGTAAGCATCTTCTAAGCGCTCTTTTTAATGTGTTGCATAAGTAAATCTCCATTTCTCTAAGGCTTTTCTTGATGCTGTTGTTTATCTTTTGCATGGTATTCCCCCTGCTGTGCGTTCATTATATTTCTTTAATATAGCTTTCTGTGGCTGTTGGTACCAAGGCATACTTATCAGATGGCCAAACCATCTCATCTGTTGCTGTTTATTGAATTAACTGATTGGTTTCATGCCTAATCTTCTTCTGATTTATTTTTGTATTTTATCTTTTTTGTTTTTTTTTTGTTACTCTGGTGGGATTGTATTAACAATTATGGATAATAAGCATGTGAGAAATAGTTTCTGAAATCTCATAACAAAACAAAAAGTCTTGCCAGTGTTAAATTTATAATTGCTTCTATGTCTTAAAGTATGAAGAAAAGAACTGGCATGCATGTGGCTGGAGAATAAGAATATTTTAAATAGGTGTTAGGATACAACAATGAGATTTTTACTACCACACATTCACATTCTGGCTACTGTCTCAGATCAGTTAGTCACTGTTTTGGATCTGAATGTCAGCTGCACTTATACAAATATTGAACAAAATAAGTAAAAGTTAAATTGTGATATATATGACATAAAAAGATTGAGTGGGGGAGGAAGGACAAAGAGAGAAAGGAGGGAGAGAGACAGAGAGAGACACAGAAGGGGGGGGAGAGAGAGAGAGAGAGAGAGAGAGAGAGAGAGAGAGAGAGAGAGAGAGAGAGAGAGAGAGAGAGAGAGAGAGAGAGAGAGAGAGAGAGAGATACTTAATTTTAAAATCAGCTAAATGTTTAAACTATTGGTTATGCTAGTTACACAAATACTGTATTTGGGCTAGACCTATATTTTATAGAACTACATTTCATAGACGAACAGGCACTTGGTGGGTGATGTGGTCAGCATCATGCTTGCAGTCTTTACTTCCCTGGTTACCTGGTACCCATTTAAGACTCGGCCGACCTCGGAGCCAAGGTCATTTTTTAAGAAGCAAAAAGTCCGGCATCGTCAAGACCCGAATCCACGACTTTCTGATCCTCAGGCGTGCATCTATCCACTACATGAAAGTGGCTCCCAAGCAATAAATATATTTAGGATATGTTCCTACAAATTAACATTTTAGTTAAATATATTTTTTTTTTTACGTTAAAAGAAATAAAGAATGACAAGATCTACAGACAACAATGTTTTTCTTTAGGGTCTCTGCAAACTTTAATTTGACATCTGATTGACTCTTCAATCACATATCAGATGTCAAGCTAACATAAACCACATGACTTTTTTTTTAAACTTTATGTTTGAGACTGGTTTGTTTTGTTTTCAGTACAATAACCTATCCAATTGATCTCCAACAATAAATAGCATAAGAAAAGTAACCATAACTCTTTATCTATTTTGCATCAGGGGCAAAAGAGAGTTTGGATAAATAAGCAAAATGGATTAACATTGTGTAAGTCTCTGCTTGATATTCTGAACATACTGCAGCTTATGATGCTATTGTTAATATTGTTATAGAGTGTGATAAATTATACACATAACCATGCTTTCAAGCAAAATACAGTTTGGTATGTGAAAGCAAAACATTCACACAAGCTGAATAGATAACAGATACTGCCGCTCAATATAAAATGTTGTGAGAAGCTATACATCTTAATATGCACCATAGGGTAAATTAAGGGATAAATCAAGGTAGCCAAGCTGGAAAAACAATTTAACAGACCAATAATTGAACATTTGTAATGCTGAACTACTATGCAATGCATCATAGGTTATATAAAGTATGAATATTCCAACTCAGAGTACGCTTACTTTAATGTCAAGAGTCTTTTTTTTTAACTTTAACAGTTTTTCTTTTTCCGTCTTTTTTTTTGGGTTCTTTTTAAAAAAGTAGCTAGTGTACTCTTATGTAGCTAGTGTACTCTTATGTAGCTAGTGTACTCTTATGTAGCTTGTGTACTCTTACGTAGCTTGTGTACTCTTATGTAGCTTGTGTACTCTTATGTAGCTTGTGTACTCTTACGTAGCTTGTGTACTCTTACGTAGCTTGTGTACTCTTACGTAGCTTGTGTACTCTTATGTAGCTTGTGTACTCTTATGTAGCTTGTGTACTCTTATGTAGCTTGTGTACTCTTATGTAGCTTGTGTACTCTTATGTAGCTTGTGTACTCTTATGTAGCTTGTGTACCCTTATGTAGCTTGTGTACTCTTATGTAGCTTGTGTACTCTTATGTAGCTTGTGTACCCTTTTGTAGCTTGTGTACTCTTTTGTAGCTTGTGTACCCTTGTGTACCCTTATGTAGCTAGTGTACCCTTATGTAGCTAGTGTACCCTTATGTAGCTTGTGTACTCTTATGTAGCTTGTGTACCCTTATGTAGCTTGTGTACCCTTATGTAGCTTGTGTACTCTTATGTAGCTTGTGTACCCTTATGTAGCTTGTGTACTCTTATGTAGCTTGTGTACTCTTATGTAGCTTGTGTACTCTTATGTAGCTTGTGTACTCTTATGTAGCTTGTGTACTCTTATGTAGCTTGTGTACTCTTATGTAGCTTGTGTACTCTTATGTAGCTTGTGTACTCTTATGTAGCTTGTGTACTCTTATGTAGCTAGTGTACTCTTATGTAGCTAGTGTACTCTTATGTAGCTTGTGTACTCTTATGTAGCTTGTGTACTCTTATGTAGCTTGTGTACTCTTATGTAGCATGTGTACTCTTATGTAGCATGTGTACTCTTATGTAGCTTGTGTACTCTTATGTAGCTTGTGTACTCTTATGTAGCTTGTGTACCCTTATGTAGCTTGTGTACTCTTATGTAGCTTGTGTACTCTTATGTAGCTTGTGTACTCTTATGTAGCATGTGTACCCTTATGTAGCTAGTGTACTCTTATGTAGCTAGTGTACTCTTATGTAGCTTGTGTACTTTTATGTAGCTTGTGTACCCTTATGTAGCTTGTGTACTCTTATGTAGCTTGTGTACCCTTATGTAGCTTGTGTACTCTTATGTAGCTTGTGTACCCTTATGTAGCTTGTGTACTCTTATGTAGCTTGTGTACCCTTATGTAGCTTGTGTACCCTTATGTAGCTTGTGTACTCTTATGTAGCTTGTGTACTCTTATGTAGCTTGTGTACTCTTATGTAGCTTGTGTACCCTTATGTAGCTTGTGTACCCTTATGTAGCTTGTGTACCCTTATGTAGCTTGTGTACTCTTATGTAGCTTGTGTACCCTTATGTAGCTTGTGTACCCTTATGTAGCTTGTGTACCCTTATGTAGCTTGTGTACTCTTATGTAGCTTGTGTACCCTTATGTAGCTTGTGTACCCTTATGTAGCTTGTGTACCCTTATGTAGCTTGTGTACCCTTATGTAGCTTGTGTACCCTTATGTAGCTTGTGTACCCTTATGTAGCTTGTGTACTCTTTTGTAGCTTGTGTACCCTTTGTGTAGTACCCTTATGTAGCTTGTGTACCCTTATGTAGCTTGTGTACTCTTAGCTTGTGTAGCTTAGCTTGTGTACCCTTATGTAGCTTGTGTACCCTTTTGTAGCTTGTGTACCCTTATGTAGCTTGTGTACCCTTATGTAGCTTGTGTAACCTTATGTAGCTTGTGTACTCTTTTGTAGCTTGTGTACTCTTTTGTAGCTTGTGTACCCTTATGTAGCTTGTGTACCCTTTTGTAGCTTGTGTACTCTTTTGTAGCTTGTGTACCCTTATGTAGCTTGTGTACCCTTATGTAGCTTGTGTACCCTTATGTAGCTTGTGTACCCTTTTGTAGCTTGTGTACCCTTATGTAGCTTGTGTACTCTTTTGTAGCTTGTGTACCCTTATGTAGCTTGTGTACCCTTATGTAGTTTGTGTACCCTTTTGTAGTTTGTGTACTCTTTTGTAGCTTGTGTACCCTTATGTAGTTTGTACCCTTACTACCCTTGTGTTTTGTAGCTTGTGTACTCTTTTGTAGCTTGTGTACCCTTATGTAGCTTGTGTACTCTTTTGTAGTTGTGTGTAGCTTGTGTACCCTTATGTAGCTTGTGTACCCTTATGTAGCTTGTGTACCCTTATGTAGCTTGTGTACTCTTTTGTAGCTTGTGTACTCTTATGTAGCTTGTGTACCCTTATGTAGCTTGTGTACCCTTATGTAGCTTGTGTACCCTTATGTTGTGTACTTGTGTACTCTTATGTAGCTTGTGTACCCTTATGTAGCTTGTTGTGTACCCTTATGTAGCTTGTGTACCCTTATGTAGCTTGTGTACCCTCTTATGTAGCTTGTGTACCCTTATGTAGCTTGTGTACTCTTATGTAGCTTGTGTACCCTTATGTAGCTTGTGTACCCTTATGTAGCTTGTGTACCCCTTAGCTTATGTAGTTGTACCTTATGTAGCTTGTGTACCCTTATGTAGCTTGTGTACCCTTATGTAGCTTGTGTACCCTTATGTAGCTTGTGTACCCTTATGTAGCTTGTGTACCCTTATGTAGCTTGTGTACCCTTATGTAGCTTGTGTACCCTTATGTAGCTTGTGTACCCTTATGTAGCTTGTGTACCCTTATGTAGCTTGTGTACCCTTATGTAGCTTGTGTACCCTTATGTAGTTTGTGTACCCTTATGTAGCTTGTGTACCCTTATGTAGCTTGTGTACCCTTATGTAGCTTGTGTACCCTTATGTAGCTTGTGTACCCTTATGTAGTACCCTTGTGTGTGTACTCTTATGTAGCGTGTGTACCCTTATGTAGCTTGTGTACCCTTATGTAGCTTGTGTACCCTTATGTAGCTTGTGTACCCTTATGTAGCTTGTGTACCCTTATGTAGCTTGTGTACCCTTATGTAGCTTGTGTACCCTTATGTAGCTTGTGTACCCTTATGTAGCTTGTGTACCCTTATGTAGCTTGTGTACCCTTATGTAGTTTGTGTACTCTTTTGTAGCTTGTGTACCCTTATGTAGCTTGTGTACCCTTATGTAGCTTGTGTACCCTTATGTAGCTTGTGTACCCTTATGTAGCTTGTGTACTCTTATGTAGCTTGTGTACCCTTATGTAGCTTGTGTACCCTTATGTAGCTTGTGTACCCTTATGTAGCTTGTGTACCCTTATGTAGCTTGTGTACCCTTATGTAGCTTGTGTACTTACCTTATGTAGCTTGTGTACCCTTATGTAGCTTGTGTACCCTTATGTAGCTTGTGTACCCTTATGTAGCTTGTGTACCCTGTAGCTTGTGTACCCTTATGTAGCTTGTGTACCCTTATGTAGCTTGTGTACCCTAGCTTGTGTACCCTTATGTTGTGTACTCTTATGTAGCTTGTGTACCCTTATGTAGCTTGTGTACCCTTATGTAGCTTGTGTACCCTTATGTAGCTTGTGTACCCTTATGTAGCTTGTGTACCCTTATGTAGCTTGTGTACCCTTATGTAGCTTGTGTACCCTTATGTAGCTTGTGTACCCTTATGTAGCTTGTGTACCCTTATGTAGTTTGTGTACCCTTATGTAGTTTGTGTACTCTTTTGTAGCTTGTGTACCCTTATGTAGTTTGTGTACTCTTTTGCAGCTTGTGTACTCTTATGTAGCTTGTGTACTCTTTTGTAGCTTGTGTACTCTTATGTAGCTTGTGTACTCTTATGTAGCTTGTGTACTCTTATGTAGCTTGTGTACTCTTATGTAGCTTGTGTACTCTTATGTAGCTTGTGTACCCTTATGTAGTTTGTGTACCCTTTTGTAGCTTGTGTACTCTTTTGTAGCTTGTGTACTCTTTTGTAGCTTGTGTACTCTTTTGTAGCTTGTGTACTCATTTGTAGATTGTGTACTCTTTTGTAGATTGTGTACTCATTTGTAGATTGTGTACTCTTTTGTAGATTGTGTACCCTTTCGTAGCTTGTGTACCCATTCGTAGCTTGTGTACCCTTTCGTAGAAAGTATACTTTTTCTGCCCCAGCCTTTATTTACTATAACTCACTATATCCAGAGAAGATCTAATTAACTGTAGCCACTGTTTTTCAGTCCAAAGAATTTTAAACAGTAAAAAATGGAGCAGAAGGTGACAAACTAACAATTAAGATAGTGAATCAATGTAACAACTATCGGCGACAAAAATAGTCAGAAATGTGAAGTGTATTTGAACCACCTTAACGTATGAGGAGATTACTGATATTGAAAGAGTTAATGGAGGAATTGTTTTTCTCTTGGATTGCATATATATGAGTATATACATTTATATGCATAGGGCCTTTTTTCTATGTCTTGCAGCAACTGAGCATACTCTGCTAGCCTGGTATGTTGTGCAGTCTTCATAGGTGATGTAATCAATATTGTGCCAACCACGTTTACTTTCAAGAACAACTTTTTGGTACTGATTTCAGACTAGGTATTCTTCTGTGGGTTCTAGGGCCCTATTTGGTGAGGGGCGGTGGTGGGAGTGGGTGGGGATGGCGCAGACTCACTGGACACCTCGCCAACAAACATGTCATAAAAGGCAACTAATGAGGGGTGTTTCCTTCAGAGTCACACACAGTACATCTGCCTGACAGGTGAGGAATTGATAGTCCCAATTCTTGACCCTTTTACAGGACTCGCCTAGGACCATCGGAAAACACATATTCACTAAAGTTATGAAGTAGCAACGAAGATAATTTGATGGCTGGGGATCACCACAAAATAAGGAACTGTATGAAAGTGTCGCTGCACTAGGAAGGTTGAGAACCAGTGCTCTAAAGGCAAGCTGACAATGTCAGTATGATCCATAGGCCAGCCACCTGTAACTATGGTAGAGCCGGTTAATTCAAAGTTTATTTTCAGATACCAGTTATCTAAAATTATGTCCTAAAGACAGTCCTTAGTGCCTTTATTGTACCACATTAAGGGTTGTGTGGACGAAGGGTCCTGAGATAGTGGAGTTAAGAAATCTCATCTAATGACAGTATCATGAACTAAGCAGGTTGGGATTTGTGTGGTTGGTCCCCAGCTCAAAAATATCCATCACCTCGCTGAGAATGTGAATAAATTCTCCCTAAGAATTTAAAATCAGTTAGACTGGATGATAATATGTTCTAATTTCAGAATTCAAATCTTTAGCTAAACCAAGTAATGAAAGGCAGGGTGCCCCCCCCCCCTCCCTAACACCCCCCTCCCCTTTCCAACCCCTTTAGCTTTCAAGGATTTATATAAATTCAATTTATTTTTAAAAAATTGTTATGTTTAACATACAAACGGTAATCTTAAATAAACTCAACTTATGCAAAACCCTTAAAGCACCATGCATGCTGTGCAAAACAATGTGTTGTTACGTTCACAATAACAGGTTAGGAATTTATTTAATCAATAAAATTATAGGTAGTTTTAGTAGTGTCTAGAAAACTGATTATGAAAAAAAAAAACAGTTTTCTCGAACATGTATGTCAGTATAATGGCAGTTCTGAGAGCAAGGGGAGCAAGCAGTTGAAGACAAACAACAAGCTAAAGACTAATGATAACCATATGAATGCAAACCTCGGACATGACTTTGAGGTCTCTCAGCCAAAGGCTTTTTTGTGCCTCTCTCAGGAACTGAAGAGGAAACATTATGTCATTGACAACATCTCAACATTTACATCAAGAACTAAATACATAAACATGGCAAACCTGAGTTTAAAACAATGCAATAAATTCCAACAGTGTAGTGTAAATCCAGCAAATGACACTAAATAAGAACAAATTAACAACCAATTTATAGGTTAAACAATATAATTATAAGTATATTTTAAATGTAAATTTAAATAATATTAACATAAAACTAAATAAAACTATTCATTTTAAAAATGATTATCTTTACTTTGTACTCATATAATTTTGACACCTACTATATGTTAGATAATTCTTTCTGATGTTACAGAGTGTAAATAAGTGAGTAGGTGTTTTATGTGTGTGTGTCTTTTAATTATGTGTGTGAGTGTGTGCATGTTTGTGTGAGAGTGTGCATGTGTGTGTGTGCCAGAGTGTGCGCGTGCATCTGGGTGGGCGTGTGTGCATGTGTGTGCGTAACATTAAATAATCAAAATCCTATCTGTCATAGAAAAGTTAGTGCTGGAAGTAATGTTTTGAATGAATTGGTTTAAAGTAATCTGTAATAAGATATTCAAATTACTACTGTGAAAATAAACATAAATTTACTGGTTAGAAGAAAAATGTCTATTACTACTGTAGCGTAAAACTTCTGAAAGAAGGAGTCAGTACTTTTCTTCAGCAATCATAATAGGTCCAGAAATGTTACCAGGTTCTAGATTTTAAAAAGCCCATGCATTAGTGCAACAATTCAACTTCAATCTATTATTTCCATGCATCTACATAAAGACACTACATTAACAGAAAAAAGACATGGGAAATAAAAATATAGAATATAAAAATAATAATTTAATATTTTAAATTAAATGTAATAAAGTTTCATTTACTAGCTTGTCTGCTTTAATTTACAACAGAGATAACTTAGTATATAAACTGTGCTTGTATTTACTGCCCCTATTTTCAGCCACAAATTGGCTCATAAACAGCATCCTGTCTTGAAAGCCAAAGTATTCTGGACATGTCAAACGTCATGGTGGCCTAGAGAGATCAGTGAGGGGAAGGGGTGGGGGAAGTTATAGGAAAATGTGGTAGAGGCAGAGGCAGCAGACAAGGTGGATACAAGACACTGAAGATGCACTGGCCATGAAAGCCAATCTGTAAGTAATTGAGAATACATATATTGTTGGGTAATCCAGTGAGGAAGGGTTAAAAGTAAATGAGTTAACACTCGTGAACTAACCTGAAGACTTTGTATAGACCAGCACCCGAAGGTGAAGCAAGAATCCCTGTGAGGGGAATAAGGCCCATTTATAACCTTCGAGCTACACAGCTACACTGGGGTCTACACAACAAAAAGCTTGGTCACACAGAATGGGCTGAATCAATTGGGGCAAGTCTCAAGGAGAGTTGAGTCCAGTGAGAAACTGTCCTACTGCGAGGACATTTTGTGATCCTCACAGTGTTCTGGCTCGTGATTGTATACCATGGAGACTGGTGCAACTGGCAAAAGTCTCAAGCCAGTTTATCATGCCTGTGCCTTTATAATTCAGTGAATTATTCAGCAGCAAGACTCAGTATGTATAATTCGGAAAGTGTCTGATTCTACTGCTAGCCTGATTGTAATTGGCTAGTCAGCAAGTTGTAGGTACTCGAGGCGGTGTGTCAGCTCATGGGTCTTGTGACCAGTGATCTTTATCTGCTTCACCAGAGCACCGCACATTATTAATTCTAGGGATGTGGGAGCTAATGTTTTGATTTAGGCTCTTATGCCATTCCATTCTGGTGATGACACTGGGTAATGTTATGCATTCTGCATCCTAATTTGTGTGTAGGCACAAACATTTTATCAAATAAAGTGAACTGTGATGGACTGCAGCGTGTTGTGTTACCTCTGGGCTGACTGTACTGTTGCCTCCCAAAGAATTTGACAGAAATTGTGTCATTTCATCCATCAGCTCTTATTTAATTTACAGGTTTGGTTAGGCCTCTTTTTGTATTTGCATCTGTTTCTACACCATATGAACTATCATTCTGTATCTTTATAGTTCTAGGCCTAGGATTCAATATTCTTAATTATGGATTAGTTACCCACACCAGTAGGAGACAATCTATATTCTTTGGTCATGATCAGTAGGAGACAATCTATATTCTTTGGTCATGATCTGGAGAGAATTGGAGTATATCGTGAAAGTTTGGAAATTTGGGGGATTGGAGGCGGAGGCAGAGGCATAGGGAGACAGAAGATACTGGACAGTCAGACATCACAGCACGGAAGATCATCTGTGTCAAAACTGACTGAAAGTACATGAGACAGAAGGTTGTGGATAGACATGACTACCAACACCACATGGCATAGACTATGGAAAATCATCTGTGTCAGAACTGACAAAAGTACATTAGACGGAAGGTTGTGGATAGGCATGACTACCAACACCACATGGCATAGACTACAGAAAAGAATCTGTGTCAGAACTGACAAAAGTACATTAGACAGAAGGTTATGGATAGGCATGACTACCAACACCACATGGCATAGACTATAGAAGATCATCTGTGTCAGAACTGATAGAAAGTACATGAGACAGAAGGTTGTGAATAGGCATGACTCCCAACATGGCATGGACTATGGAAGATATCTGTGTCAAAACTGACTACATGAGACAGAAGGTTGTGGATAGGCATGACTCCCAACATGGCATGGACTATGGAAGATATCTGTGTCAGAACTGACTACACGAGACAGAAGGTTGTGGATAGACATGACTCCCAACGCGACATGACATGGACTATGAGAAGAAGGAATTAGTACCTTTTGTTGTTGTATTGTGGGTGTAAACTATTATAAGTGTATCACACTGTAAATATATTAATAATGTACTTCAGAAGCTGTGTGGTCTCGAGGCATGGTGTCCGTCTCGAGTGCTAGAGGTCCTGGGTTTAAGCCCAGGTGAAAGCTGGGATTTTTTCATGCAGATTTCTAGTAATTTCCCCTGGTCTCTGGGTAGTAAGACCGGAGGCCTGTGTTTTGTTGCACACTTAAAAAATCCCTTGGCGGTTAGAAATCGAAAAGAGTAGCCTAACGGCGCTGCCCAGGCAAAATTTGGAGCTTAAAATCTACCCAAAGTATTTAAGGATTCTCGGGTGCAACAGAGTTTGTGCATGGTGCGGAGATTCTTTGGACTCAGGCTTGAGTTAGAAGAAGAACGGAGCACTTATGGGTTAAACCCGTGTGCCATGATGTTGATCCATTGAATAAGCATAAAGCATAATGAACTTTATGTATTCCAATACCCATACATTCCATAATAAGTACAAAGTGATATACTGTTGAATATATTATGCAACAATCACCACTATATAATATAGCCAAAATTACACACTGCCAATTATTCATTTATGCAAAAAAATCTCTGCAAACAAAGGAAGCCTTCTAGCAAACAACAATACTATGTGTCTAAATGATTACAATTCATTGTGTATTTGTATTTAAAATTAAACATTGTAAAATAAAATAACTCAAAAATAGATTCTAAAATTCTACTTTAAACCAAAAATTTGAATCCTAAAAACAAACCCAACAGCCAAATAGTAACAATATATCTTATTTACAACATGTTCCTTCTGGGGGAAACCGATAACAGTTTTTGAAATGCTGGCATGCATTCTTTATAGGTGTTACATTTATTTTAAGATTAAATTATTTATGACCTACACATGTAGTGATGATTTCTTCTTCTCCTCCTTTTTCTTCTTCTTCTTCTTCTTGTTCACTGGGTGTCAACTCCAGTGGAAAGCTCTTACTGTTCGTCCACCTCTGGATTTGTCTTGTTCCAGATCCTGAGTGGTATGTGCACATCTGAACTGACTTATTTGTATGCAGATTCCCTGCCTCTCAGGCGGATGCGCTCCGACTTTGAAAGAAGCACCCAATTAGTCGGCTCTTGCGACATAAGTGTTGGAAAGGTCGTGGGTCTCTTCTTGTTTCCCCCACAATGGGACTTCTGAACCCACTCAGGAAAAATGCTAATTTCAATATAAAGTAACAAATCAATACTATTCATGTCTAGGAGGCATTATCCCTTTAAAGATTTTATGATTTATCTTTGATTTCTCATAAAATATAAGAATCCTCTCCCCATCCCCTTTTGTTAAAAAACCATGCAGTGGTATAAATAATTTCAACAAAAAAAGCAAAAGTCACAAATAAAAAATAGATCTGAAAGCATAATGCCTGTATCATGCAAAGCAAACACATGAATTACTATCCAATTTATCTGATTAATTTCAGTAAATACAACAAAACAAATCTCATAAATGGTACATACAATCTACTGTGAGATAAGAGTAAGGAGTGATGGAAAATAGGAATTGAGAATTAAAAAGAGAAAACAGAAACATTGTCCTCTTTTTCTTTTTCTGCATTTGCTCTTTAAATGGTGGCTGGTACATTGTATCGTGGTTTAAAGCCAGGCTGCGATATCTGCAAATTTTGATCTAATACATGCGATTTCAAAAAACCCCTAATTAGTCGCCCTTTGTAACATGCTTGTTGGGGTGAGGGGCCAAGGAACCCGCATGGGGAGAATGTAGAAACAATGGGGTTAAACAGTAAGCAAGTTGAAAATAGAGGAGAAGTAAGACTGTAAAGGGGAATGGACTGATGCAAATGGTATACAATTTCATATCAGATAGAGATGAATAAGAATATGTGGAAGATATGTAGTGAGTTGTGTGAGATGGCAAAGGACAGAACAGCTTGATGTGAGCTGGTTGAGGGTCTCTGCTTTAACAAGGGATCATGGAGGTGGAGGAGAATAAAATTAAGACAAGAAACCTAATGAAAAAGTTTACTGAAAATGTTCATGCCATACCACAACAGTCAAAGTAATGAGGTCAAGTTATTTCTAAGTAGAATAATTCAAGTAAATGTTTTATTAAATACTGCATGAAACAAGAAATTGTTTAGAGAAATAAAAATAAGAAAGCAAGGAAGAATACTCACTGTTTGCTGATCAGCAGTGCCATTTGATGTAATTGGAGTGGTTGTGTATATGGTCTGGCCACTTGTTTCTGAGGACATAGCTGAAACAGCAACTCCAACATTCTGGAGACCAGCTAAACCAGCTGCCGCTGCAGCAGATCCTGCAGCCTGACTGGCAACAACTTGTTGATGATACTCCTCTAGACTTGTCGCTTGAGGAAATGTGAAGGTTGGGGTCATCTGGTTCTGAACCATGTGCTGAAAGAACCCAAGGAAAGTAACTACTGAGACATCAGGTTGACCCAGGAATTAAAGAAATGTGTCTTGAGGTTCAAGATCCAGAGGATCCACTACCCAGAATGGGTTTTATCCTTCTTCTTCTTCTTCTTCTTCTTCTTCTTCTTCTTCTTCTTCTTCTTCTTCTTCGTGTTCAATGGCTTTAAAGGCGGAAAGTTCTGATTCTTAGTTTACTACAGGACTTTGATCTTGCTCCAGAACTTTAGTTTTGCATGCACATTCATTTCATAGATCTGGTTCATTTTTATGCAAACTGTCAGTTCCTTGCCTCTCAGGGAGATGAACTCTGACTTTGAAGGAAATATTCCTAATTAGTCAGCTTTTACAAGATGCCTGTTAGGATGGCAGAAGATCTTTTCTTGTTTTCCCCCCAAAATGGAGCCCTGAAACCATATGGAGAGGATTTTTATCCAACATGGCTGCTGAAAATATCACACAAAGCATGCACTTTGTAGTTCCAATGATAATCTCTATAGGCGTTGTAGGTAAGTAAAGGTCAAATATCCGTTTTACACCAGTGATGCATCAGGCAAACGAACTACTATTGTTGACCAATCGGCACTCGGTGGCTGATGTGGTCAACATCATGTCATAGTTTGTTTTTTCTAGCACTGAAGTGTTTATCTAGGTCTAGATTTTTTTTTTTTTTCTGGCACTGAAGTGTTTATCTAGGTCTAGATTGTTTTTTCTGGCACTGAAGTGTTTATCTGGGTCTAGATTGTTTTTTTCTGGCACTGAAGTGTTTATCTAGGTCTACATCTTCATTTATCTTTTCCTGTTTTTTTTTTTACATAATGAATAAAAGCTCAACAGAATGTAAAAAACAAAAACAAAGGCCCAATAGAGAAGCTGAGGGAGATGCATATTATTGCCAAATTTTACTGCAGTAAAAGCACTTGAAGACAGTCAGGAGTACCATGCTGATAAGTACAATAATGATCAGGATGATGATCTGAGTGGGCAGCCATAATGACAATCCCCCCCCCCCCCCCCCCCCCCCACATCCCAAGTTTCAAGAAATAGAATGGCGATGAGCCAAACATAAATTACATTTAATCCTAGTATTATAGGTGCCATACAGAGATTAATTATACTTTTTCCGATTATCAATTTATAAAAAGAAAGTCCAAGAAATAATCTTTATAAATAGAAGCTACGGGACAATACTCAAAATCACTCACCCACATTGTTCTTTATATAAAAGATATCTAAACTAAAACAGTGAGCTGTAAACAATTCCCTGAGCTTTGTATACGGACAATCACAAAAGATACAGCGAGGCCACGCCAAAATGTGAAATGTGGCGCTTGTATTCACTGGATGCTTGTCGCTTTCTCTGGTGTGTCAGAAGAAATAATGGTTCTAAATTATCCGACCATTTGATCATTATCCGAAAACCCAGCCAACACCCGGCTTCAGAAATGAGCAATCTGTGCGCAGGTTTGGCTTATGCGTGGACGAAAATCTGCTCTGTTCATACTTGGGGTTTTAGCGCGCAAATTTCGTGAGTAATTTTTTTTCTCCTTTCTAAAGGGCAAACCAGCATGTGTGTATAATTAAGCGTCCCTTGCTTCTCTCGCTCTTTTTCCAAAGCTCTCCTCAAACCCAATCGTGCCAGCATGGCAGATATTAATCACATTCATTTATTTGTAGTGTAATTAACAACCTCTGTGGGGTTATAAATGAGGGTAACATTTCCGCGTGACATTTAATTATAAGAGCATCCATTCTGTAATATTCCGGTAATTCATAATTCTGTATTTTGTCATACACTACATTGTTGTATGCACTGGTAACAACAGTTATAAGACAAAGAAGGCAGCGCTATGTCGGATGCATCCTGAAGAGAAACGAGCAGAGAATCAGGTTTTTTGCCGTTTTGAACAACGGATCAACCTCATGGCACATGGGTAGTAACCCAATTGGTGCTCCGTTCTTCTTCTAACTCAAGTCTGAGTCTGAAGAAGTTCAGCACAGTGCACAGGCTCTGTAGTACTGGCGAGGACACTGAAATACTTTAGGTAGATTTTTACTCAAAATTTTGCCCAGGCAGCGCCGTTAGGCTACTCTTTTCGATTTCCAACTGCCAATGGATTTTTTACATGCGCAACACTACCCAGAGACCCGGGGGAATTACTAGAAGTTCAAGTCCACGTGAAAAAATCCTAGCCCTTACTGGGGATTGAACCCAGAACCTCTAGTACACCACGCATCGAGACCACGCAGAACTCTAGAGAATAATAAAACATATATTAACATTGGAAATAAAGGACTGAATTAAGCCAGGACATGCACAAGAAACTGTAACATGAAAGCCAATGAGAGAGGCCAAAGGTGCTGGACTGAATTCCATCTACGATATCTTCTTCTTCTTCGTTCACCGGCTGTGAATTCCGGCGGAAGGTCCCGGTTAATCGTCCGCTTGGACTTTTGGCTTTTACCTGAGTTTTAGATATCGAAGTGATTGAACATGACAGAATGAAATTGAGGAATAGACTGTGAGCCGTAAGAGGCATTAAATGGCTCAACAGGACTATCATGCCGTCGTTTACAAAGACAAATCTAATAAGAACTATTTTTGGCCGACTCTGGCTTAGACGCTAGCGAATGCGGTAATTGCATGACCTTCGAGTACTGTGGTTTATATCCCGTAGTGGACAGGTTCTCATGGTTTTCGGACAATGGTACTAGAGTCGCACCGTGGAAGAGACTGGGGCCTCACCACGTAATATTCTCAAAGAGAACAGTGATACACTTAGCCAACCTCCACTGTGGAGACGGCACCGAACTTTTATGCCAAGACTGTCAAACATAATCAGCGAAAATTATTAAAAACATGGATGATATTAGTTAGTTAGGATATGATCATTGCACTCCGGACATGTCCACAGGTGCTCAGATCCTTCCCTCAATATTAACCCCTGCGTCCTGTAATTAACAGTGCCAGTTCTTTGTTGACTGATAAGTCTTTCTGTATGCCCGGTAAGTAAAATTTACTTACTATAGAAGACCAGCAAAAATATGCAGCGACGGTATCAAGATCAGCCTTGAAAAAAATTAAGATAAAATTATCAACGCAGCAGAAAGAGCATGGTGGGATCTTTACACTCCACACACAAACACATATATATCGACGAGGAAACTGAAGAAAAAGAAGTAGTAAACTATATACACTGTTAGTGAAGGACCCTTTTCGTGCCTTTCAGATGCGTCAGATATAATCTATAATCGGGGGTGGGGTGGGAGGTGTGGGGGGGGGGGGGGGGGGGCTAAGTTCCCTCAAAATTTCCTGGGGGAAATCGTGTGGCTTCAGTGGAGATGACTGACTTTCTACCCCACTAGGACATCACACAAGCGATAAACACCCGATTACACTACCACCATGTGGGTGAGGATCACCGTGGAGAGGTCCCAGAAACCGCGTTTAGACAATTGGTCACATTGATGGCCTACCTATATTGCGGCCCCTGGCAAAAGCCAGAGTGGGGCTTTAAATAAAAAAAAAATAACGTCCTAAGAAGGACGAAAGGAATTATTAATTAACTATTGAGTGGAGATGAACTGAACTGAACTGAATTTCTACCCCACCAAGACATCACACAAGCGATAAACACCCGATGACACAAAGTGCCACCATGTGGATGAGGATCGCCGTGGAGAGGTCCGAGAAACCGCGTTCAGACATTTGGCCATATGTATGGCCTGCCTATATTGCGGCCCCTGGCAAAAGCCAGAGTAGGGCTTCAAATGACAAAACATTTCGTCCTAAAAAGGACGAAATTGGATAATGACAGCGGAGATTGGATTAGATTGGCTATTTACCCCACCAGGACATCACACAAGCGATAAACACCCGATGACACAAAGTGCCATCATGCGGATGAGGATCACCGTGGAGAGGTCCCAGAAACCGCGTTCAGACATTTGGCCATAATTATGACCTGCCTATATTGCGGCCCCTGGCAAAAGCCAGAGTGGGGCTCCAAATAACAAAAAATAACGTCCTAAGAAGGACGTAAAAAGTTAAGTGCGTTTTGTGTGAGTAATAAATCACAAATCCTTTCTGTATTTCGTGTGTTTATTATAAATTAAGTGTCAACTCCTCCCAAACCGTGATCATTACATGCGTTAAACTTTAAACTGCCATTATGGTTACATTCTTTAATTTAACAGTCACAGTGGCGGTTATATTTATGCGCATTTTCATTATTCATTGCGAAAATCAGCACAAGTAAACTTACGCTGGAGTTATATCTCTTTGAATTGGGGTTTTTTTTCCCATTATTTCCCCTAGGAAAGAAATATTTAAAAATTATATTTCGCTGTTATTTTCTCTGAAACTACGTATCTAAATGTACCTGAGACTATACGTGTGTCTGTCTCAAAAACGTTGAAATACTGGTGTTAGTATTACAGAAAATACCTAGGGTGAACTTAGGTGCAATGACTACAGATACGGAAGTGGTGGGGACAAACATGATGTAGAAGGCGGGGTACTGAATATAGGGTTTTAGTTACAGCCATACTTTCCGGGCAATTAAATCTAGTGTGTGTGTGTGTGTGTGTGTGTGTGTGTGCGCGCGCGCGTGTGTGAGAGAGAGAGATGTGCTAAATAGCAAGCAAAAAATACAATACATCCGAAATAATATAAAATGTAAAAGTGAATGCTGAAAATTAGAACGTGTTGATGCATGGTGGGAGGAGGCATTTTATCCTTCTTATAAACTCAGTGTGTGGGTTTTTCGTTGTTGCTCGAGAGGAAATATGGAAGTTTTAGAAGAATCAAGAATATCTCTGGCGGGTTGTGATTAAAGCCACGTTCTGCGAAAAGCATAGTTCGTGGAAAAACACACACACACACATATATATATATGCCACGCACATAACGCACATACACACATGCCACGAATATAACACACACACACACCAAGGCACAAAAAAACAAACCAAACCAAAACCAA